CTCTAAATCAACTCCTCACTGACTCTGGTGCGTTTGCAGAGGCCGTAAATGGCATGGGAAAAGATGGCCCTTTGTTTATCCCATCAAGCAATTGAGGAATTCAAGACACTTGCCTCCAAGTTGACACCCCAATGTCTTTCCCATTGAGGATGTCTATGGAAGGAGGTATGTGTGTGCATATTTGCAAGCACTTGGGTAAGTACGTATGTGTGTGTGTGTGTGTGTGTGTGTGTCTGTCTGTCTGTCTGTTGCTGACACATGTGGTTATGTGTGTGCATGCAATGTGTACATGTGATTATGTATGTGTGTGGAATTGCTATTAGTAATACAGAGCCCTTTCCTTCCTCTCCCAGAATGGCTACTGAGACAATCCAATAACAGGAAGTATCAGCTGTGCTTTCTCTTTCTGTGAAACTACCCTAGCTCCCTCTTTTCCCAGGAATAGTTATCTGAGACCCCAGCCCACTTCCTATTTTGAAGGAAGCATCTGTATCCAGCCCCTCTCCCAGTTCCCATGTAAGAAAGGATAAAATTTCCCTCTAAATCTTAGTAGGGGCTGATCTCCTGTTTGAGAACCAGCCTGGCAGTTTCTCCTTAATAAATTATTTTTCTTAGCCAGCACTGGGTACTGTCCTGCCTCGGTGACCTCAGAGCATCAGATAGAACTCCCCAGAAGAGTCAGCACCTTCTGCTGGTGACCCAAAGTCTGGAAGTTTTAATACACCCAAAAGAATTTGAGAAGGAAAAAAAATATCTAGTGCTCTACTCCGAAAGCATCAACTAAACTAAGCCTATTTGGCTTTGGAACACGGAAGGAGAAAGAACTTTTAAGCTATTCCTTGTTCCTAATTATGGAAGAGCTGAGAAAGTTTGCAGTTAGGGACCTCTGCAAATTATATTGAGGAGTAATGGTGTCAGAGTGAGGACTAAGGTGCATCTAATTCAGGACACAGGCTTTCAGATCACTTGCTATGCATCTGAGAGCTGGACAATGAATACGGTGGTAGAATCCTCTGAGCTGTGGTTTTGGAGAAGAGCATTGAATAGCCCATGGATGGTCAAAATAAAAAAGAAATATATCTTGGAGAGGGTGTAGCCGGCTTGCTCTTTGGAGGAAGGAATGAGGAGGCTTCGCTCCCGTTGTTTGGACATGTTGCTAGGAGGGGCTATTCCTTGGAGAGGGACATGGTGCTGGGAAGGGTAGAGAAAGACCCTCAAGCAGATAAACTGACCCAATGGCTGTCATAATGGCCTCTTGTGTGTCAAGAAGTGTGAGAATGGCACAGGACAGGACAGGGTTTCAATCTGCTGTTCACAGGATCGCTGGGAGTGATACTCAACTCAAACGCAGCTCACTTCAAGAACCACAAGCGAAGAGTTGCAAGAAGCCCTCCCTAAAATAAAACAACCCAGGTCTCCATGCAGGACTGGGTACTCACCTGCTTCAGGAAAGAACGTGGTGGTGGGGCCAGGTAAAGCACACCTGAGATGTGTAGTTCACGGCCAGGCTGTTCCCTGCTGTGTTTTCAGTTTCGTGTCCACAACAGCATAAATCATAACATGACGCGATAGACACACACACACACACACACACACACACACACACCCTGCGAATTGCAGATAGGTACTCAAGTTTCTGCCTTCTCAAGGAGGACACTTAGGGTCAATAAACTCTGCTAATGATTACCTAACTTGGGAGGGACCAGAGAGCATTAAGTAGAGTGAACTAACTCAGTCCCACAAGGATAAATATTGTATAAAACTGTTATTATAGAATGAGTATAAGGATCCAGGAGGGGTGGGAGAGGCTGGAAGCAGAGGGGCGTGGATGTGTAGGGGGGAGAGGAGGGTATTAATCATTGGGTTGAACAATTGGATGGATGGCTAGGTGTGAGGGAAATGGAAAAAAATTGTTCAGATTTGTATTTGAAGTTTGTAAATAAACTAGTAGCAAAACAAAATAAAAATCAAAGCAACAAACATGAAAAAACAAAACAAAACCCCAAATGCTGCCCCATCCTGCCCCAGGCTCCAGGCCAAAGGTTACAATGCATCTCTTGAGATTTTTCTTATACTTCTCTGATCTCCTCCATTATTTCCAGCATGATGGGGTTTTTTTTTTCCTTTCCAAAGGACTGTCGCCTCCTGGCCACATGCCCATTGCATGTGAGACCATTAGACACCAGCCTTGAATCTAATGAACACTCTGGTTGCATTTCCTCCAAGAGGAAGTTTTTCATTAATTTGCGAGTCCATGGTATACTCAATACGTGTTCCAACGATCTGTCTTCCTTACCCATTATCCACCTTTCAGATGCTTAAGAAGGAACTGGAATTACAAGGAGATATGTTTTTCCTTCTTATTCTGAAGGCCACATGGCAACATTCTAGACAAGATCTTGAAAAACACAGAAAAAACAAAAACAGAGTCTGTTGTTGTTGTTCTGTGCCAGCCAACAGCTCTGAACCCTGTTCTATCCTGAGCCAACCCTATTGTCTTTGACACATCTACCCCCATCACCATTATCACTGAGTCAATTAATCTCACCCAAGGTCTTCCTCTCTTGAATACCTTCCTTTATGTGAATATCTTTTGTTTCTTTTGTTGTTGTTGTTATGTGCCATCGAGTCACCTTGACTCATAGCAACTCACTATACAACAGCCCTAAACCCTGTTCTATTCTGAGCCAATCTCACTGTTTCTGGCACAGACAGGATTGGGTACGTCTTGCTGTTAAGTCAAAATCTGCACATGAAGCTGATCTGTCAGTAACTGTGATTGATTTGATTTGACATATGATTGATTGATTGATTGATTGATTTGATATGACTGTACTCAAGTATATTCCAATTCACAGTCTTCCTTCTCGAAGGTTTCAAGTATTTATGGGAAGGAGATTGCCTCTATTTCTCCTTCGGAGAAGGTGGTGGATTCAAATTAGAGTCCTTTTCATTTTTATCCCAACACATAACCCAATAAAAGTCTGGGGAGCTGCCAGAATGCCATTGTAATTCACCACTACGGACAAGAATGGTTCACCACAGCCACGTGGAATTGGTTTATTATGTGTTGATTACACATACACACACACAAAGTATTAATGTCCCATGAACACACAAGCTCATAGCGTTGACAGTTCTCTCACCCCAAGGTAGGAAACTTTCTCCCCACACAATCCTAGAAACAGGGTCAAGAGCGGTAGGCACCATTTAGACCCAGAAAAAGATAAAAAATGGTAGGTGGGGGCAGAGAGAAAAGATGAAGAGAAATAAAGATATAATTTGTTATATGTTCAATAGCAAGTTCTCTCCCTTGACACGTAGGATGAATAGAACTTGTCTGGGTGTAGGAACTACCATGAGAGATTCCTGGTCTTTTAGGCATTCTTTTTGTTGTTGTTGTTGTTAATCGTGATTTGAGTAAATTGGTTGTCCATGTGACCACCCATTTTATTTCAGACAAGGATGGGAATTTTTCTCCCGTGTGATTAACTGCCTCTGAAGACCTGTCAGAGGGTCGGCTGTGGGTTGATTTCATCTCAACGGCACATAAACATGTTACACATTAAAAATACCCTTTTCTTGGGAGGGGAGAAAAGTGCAACAATGAATGAATGGAAACCCAAAGTCTCTGTAAATTTTCATTGAAATTAATAATAAATTAAAATACCCATGTATTTGTATCATACTCCTTGGTCACCTCCAGATTTTATCCTTGAACAAACACTGCCCTTCTTCGAGCATAAATGGTTTATTATTCTGAAGAGATAGTCCCTCCTATCCTCAATTTTCAGACAAACCATAGATAGACAAGCCTAGAAGGTGATCCGTGAACCATGGGGGTTGAGTTTGGTGGTGGATTCAAAGGGTGAGTCCTTCTTGGGATGCCCAAGAGTCTTGGTTCTAATAGTCTCTCTTGGAGCCATAAGGGTGAAGACCTCTTCTCTGTAGTTTTGTTCCCCATTTCTCTTCCCACTATTCAAGATTATTGACTCTGATCCCATTGAAATATGGTCATCATTGGTTGTCTGACACCATCTAGTTCTGCTCTCAAACAAGTGGAGATTTCTGAGGCCCCTTCACCCTCTGAATTAAGGGATTTGGTACATCTTTGTTTTTTGCTTTTTAGTCACTCCTTGCTGGAAAGAGAGAACCCACCGTTGTGTGCAGATGGTTGCTCTCATACTTGTAAGACACACACACTCTCAGCTGCTCCTCAACCAAGGAGGATGGTGAATTATATTTGCATTACAAACACATCTTCATGTCCTCCAAGTTTAGGTTAGCAAAATCCCCAGAGATAGCTGATGAACCTCCTCGAGGTCAATGACTTTGGATGTCCTGTGTTCTGCGAGGTCAACTTGTGGGGACCACAGAAGCCAACAGAATCATCGCATGGTCTCCTCCAGTTTCTCCCAGACCAACGGCATTCTTCAGTAAACATCAGGTAAAGGGACATTCACACTTACACAAACCTGATGGAGAGAGAGAGAGAGAGA